ACTATGAAGTTTGTTTATAATTTAAAATAAATCTAACTATATATCCAAGAATCTAAATAAAAGCTTCTAATTTAATAGGATTCATAATTATATTACTACTTAACAAATGTGCATTCTTACATATAAAATTAATTTTTAATATTTCTTAAACTTGACTTGGTACAATATCATTAAAAGAATCTTTAAACTACAATCTTTTTTTAAAATTATAGAAAAATAAATGATTTTATTTAATATGTTAAATAAATCTAAATTTTCATTTATATTATAATATTTAAATATCATCATAACCATAAAAATACAACATAATATTGATTTTATATTATACAAATTTTAATCTTATCTTTGTGGTATTGTATGAAGAATTTGACTAATTAAAATTGATTTGTTTATATTACTAAAGTAATTGAATTAATTTTTGGTATCAACATCTATCTTTTTATCCTCTTGATTTGATTGTCCTTCTTCTTATATAAACCACTATCTCTCAATATGAAATTTTTTCTAAAATTCATATTTTTAATTATAATAATTTAATTTATATTTAGATCTTATATTTTATTTCTTTTCATAGATTTTTTATTACCTTATTAGAAATATTTTATATTCTTAAAATATTTTTTTCTAAATAAAGATAAATCATGAATAAAACAGTTAAGAAGTTGCAACTTCCTTACTTGAATGTTGTAAAAAATGTCCATTTAGATCATTACATATTGTGTGTAGTGCTACTAGAATGGACGTTGATTGTAATTTCAAAAGCTATAAGGAAAGGTCTTGTGATTAAAGTTCTTGATGATAGTTACAAGCAAGCTCAATATGAAAAGAAAAAACTTAATATTGTCAAAACCTTACAGCCTTTTTTTCATCAAATCTATGACATTGATTTCTAGATAGACAACTTCAATCATTAATTGTCAAAGAACATCCAAAAGATAAGGATTTTAAGGTTCATGACCTATTTGAAGGTAGATGCTTCAACCAAAAGCCTCCAAAGAGATAAATTCATATCCAATAATCATCTGCATTGTCTCATAAAACTACATATTTTATTAATAAGTTGCATTTCAAAAATTAATCTTTGCCATAGATGACATCAATAATTTTTGAATTCTCTATATTTTACATACCGAAAGTTGTAATTTATCTAGCTCTTAATTAAGAAACTAGAAGGGCCTTCTTTTTGATTTTCAGGACATTTTGTATGCAACAAATGATATCCATCATGTTTTCATAATATATCCTATTTTTTTAATATGATATCAGAATTGGATGAACATTATTATAGATGAAATTTGTTCCTTAAAGTCTAGATAAAAAATTTGGATGTTTTTTATAGATAAAAACTTAGATGATTTGCTTGTTGTTAGAATTCTATTGCCATTGAAATACTACCAAAGCTAAGGAGCTGCTAGAGCCTCATTGAAGCTATTAGATCCTTACTAGAGTTTTGCCATAGTTGAAGTTTAATTCTATTGATATTGATTTTTATTTAGTTAAATTCTATTTGTTATTGGTAGTAAAAATAAGCTTTCTTCCACTCTATCATAGCTTGGTATTACTACTATTCTCCAAATATTAAATTTTATAGACCATTTGTTAATTATTCTTTTACAATTATTTGTTGCTATTACATTAATTGTATTTAGAAAAGACATCTTCTTCAATAGATCATCACATTAATTGCTTAGATGAAAAAAACTATGGCATATGGATATTTGTTATGAAATACTTGATGCACATTTCTAAGCTCTATATGCATGCAAATAGAATATTAAAATGTCTTAAAAGTATTGATAAAAAATTAAAATAAAAATCAAGTGAAGCACAAGCACAAGCATTGATTGCACTCAATATTGAGCCTTCACAATTAATTCATATATATAAATGTAATATTATAAAAGAAATATAGGGCATATTGGCTAAGATCCATAAGTCCTTTGGAGTTATTATTGAAATATATTTAATGAAGAAAATATATAATCTTTAAAATATGGATGAAAAATCTATAGAAATTTTTCTTGGAGAAATTTTTGAACTTAGGAATCAATATATTGGAATTGGTGGTGAAATAGATAAGTAGAGCATGATTTTTTTTTTTTTTATATTTACTACATTACTAGAATCTTAGGATCCACTTATTCAATTGATTGCATTGAACAAAAGAGAAGGGATCATGGAAGAAGTAGTAAAATCTATTGTTCTTAAAGAAGAGATGTGAAGGAAGAAGAAGATTAGTTTTCTATTTTTTGCTTTAGTAGTGCATGCAAGAAGAAAGTAAGTCTTAAAAAAGTACCATCTACAACAAAAATAAAAGTCTCAGATTGATAAGAATAAGCATTGACGAGGAAATGCACAATGTCTTAAAACAAATAACAATGGTGTAGTAAATGTTGGAGTTGCTATTATTCTTTTAGCTTAAAAAGTATCATTTAATTTAATAATAATAACTACATTTTTTTTAAATTTTCATCATCGTCTCAATTTTTTTTTTTTTTTTTTTTTTTTTTTTTTTATTGATCAAGGTAGTAAATTCTTGAATAATAAGTTTGATTCTCACTTCAAAGCTATAGCCATTCAACACATGATTACTCTTACATGTATATATAAAATTGTTAGTATGGTAGAGCATATGATGTAAACTATTTTTAAAGGAATACCAACACTTTTGGGCAATGCTAAGCTAGATCATTAATATTGGGCATTTGCAACAAAATTTGTGACTTGGACTTGTAATTGCTTTTTTACTTGCAATACTCGATGGTAAGATACCACATGAAGTTTTTTACAATGAAAAATCGTCTCTTCAAAGTACTCATTGCTTTGATTTTCATGCTTGATATCTCATATAAAAAAAAAAATATCAAAAATTTAATATAAAGGATATTTTTATTGAATATTTAAAAATAACAAAATATATATATATATATATATATATATATATATATATATATATATATATATATATTAACTTGAAAAGAAGATGATGATTTTTAGTCAAGATGTGGTTTTTCTCAATAATAAGAATAAATTACTTAGTAAACTAATAATTCCTCAAGAAAAAATTGAAAAAAGATATGGATTATAGAAATAATCTTGATTTATTAGATTTTTAATATTTAAGTAAATTAGAAATATTCCAACCTCAAGCCTCAAGATTACATGTGTATGATGAATTGGATAGAGAAATAGTTGAAGAGGAAGCAAATCCTATATCAACAATAGTAGTAGAATTCTATCAATCAAAGTGGAGGCAACCACTCAAGTTCTTCTACCTAAACATTGTTATATAGGTGGCATTAACTTGGAAAATATTACAAGTTGTAGTAGGATGCATTGCATATTTTGGAAAAAAGACAAAAACTTTATTTGAAGAGATTATGAATTCTTAATTGAAATAATGGATGTAGTTTATGTTGATGATTATATAGAACTAGAGACCATTGAGCAAGCGATGAGTTCAACTTTTTGCAAAGAGTAGAGTCATGCCATGAAGGTAGAACTCAATTCTTTGAAAGATCATGGTACTGGAGAATTTTTATTTTACCTAATAGTAAGAAGACTCTAAATTTAAAATATATTTTAAAAAAAAAACTTGCTTGCAATGGCTCCATTAAACGTTTTAAAGCATGATTGGTTGCAAAGGATTTTACTCAAGTAAAGGATCTTGATTATCAAGAAACTTTTACAATAGTTGCTCGCCTTGCAACAATTTGCATATTTGTTGCAATTTTTGCTATCCTTAATTGGAATATATTGCAACTTGATATTGTTTCAAGTTATTTAAATGGTGAACTTAAAGAGGAGAACATTTATATAAAGTTTCTAGAAGATTTGGAAGTTCTATCAAAATACAAAGGCAAGGTGTTGCAATTTCTAAAGACTTTATATGGTTAAAATAATTTGAATGTGGATGAAAGAAGAGTTTGGAGAAATCTTTATTGAATCTTGGTTGGAAGCGCTCTTAATCAGGTCCTTGTCTTTTTACAATGTACATTGAAAAACTAGTTCTTGCACTCATTATCTATGTCAATGACATACTTGTTGGTAGCAAGAACTTTGAGCTCCTTATGAAATGTAAGGATGAATTGCAAGAGTGCTACAAGGTAAAAAATATTTGGTGAATTTAGTGACTTTTTTTGCATTGATTTTTTACAAGATAAGAAAAATAGTACTATTAGTTTGAGCCAAACTAAGTATATTTGTCAAAAATTAGAGGAATTTGGGATGAAAGATGCAATGACAATTGCTACACCAATGGTACAAAGTCATATCACTAAACATGAAAATAATGATCTTTTGGATGGAAAAGGTATAAAGCTTTATTTGAAAGCTTTTGGTTTATTATTGTATCTTACAAATGGTACAAGGTATGACATTGCATTTGCTTGTCAACCCTTTGCTCAATACATGGTACATCCATATGTTTTTCATTGGCAAGGAATCAAAAAATCATTTTGTTATTTACAAAAAATAAAATATTTGGTATTATAGTGTGGAGAAAAAGAAACAAATTTGCAATTTGTATGTTGTAGTGATGCAAATGGAGTAAGTTGTGTGGAGACATTTTGTTTAGTAGGAGGTTATGTATTTATATTAGGAGGTACAATTATCATTTGGTCAAGCAAGCAACAATTTTTAGATTCTATTTTATTAGTGGAGGTAGAGTATGCAGCTTTGGCTGTTGCAGCAAGAGAGACTTTGTGGCTTTGTAAAGTACTTAAGGATCATGATATTCCTAAGCTGGAATTGATTCTATTCCTAAGGATCCAATACACCATGGTCATACAAAGCATTAGTATACAAAACATCATTTTATTAGGCAATGTATGGAGAAATGACAAATTGGTTTGGAGTATTGTTCCTTAGAGGAAATAGTAGCAGACATCTTCACAAAATGACATACTTGTCAAAAAAAAGGACACAACAATTCTCATGAAGTGTCCGCTCTGATCTTGCAAGTATCCTTTGGGTGTTGGAGAAGCCCAAGAACGTCCTACCTTGCGAACGTCTGCACATGATGGAGAGTACATGGGCCTGTGGGGGTCACCCACAATGGAACTTTAACTGCAAGAAACGGGGTTCACGAGAACCTCGGGATCCCTTGGTTGGGGGAACGAGTCGTCTTGCAGCGTGATTAGGTTTCAGTTAGGATCGCTTGCTCTGCTGCATCTCTTCTCGCTTTGTCAGGGAGAATATCCCTAACCCTTATGGTTGTTTGTAGTTAAAATGCACCGTTGATTAGTCTAAATGTTATTGTAAGAGATCACCAGTTATCGACATGCAGACGACGCGCCTGATCCTGAATGAGGACTAGTTTGGAGAGCTCACATTACGTGTTCGCCGAGGCGCTTGCGATGAGAGACGGCTTTTCTCAAGTCATGTGGCTGTGTCATTCGCATGTATTTTGTGCAAAATGGTGTAGAAATGGCATATTTGAATGCTTAGGAAGACTGGCACCTGTTTGATTCTGCCTTATTTTGATACCTCCTTCCTTCTTTACGAAACATTGTTAAGATCTACGGGCTTGATAAAATTCTGCGGTGAATCGTGGTTTTTTTTCTTGGAATGGTCTTGAATTCTACTTGATTTCAACATTCTCTTTGAAGCTTAGCAGCTTCGTTTACAAATGAATACCATTTAGGAGGCCGTGGCTTCTATCGTGTGCATGCCAGACATGAGACCTTTATATGAGTGACGCTTTCTCGTTCTTGCTCCGATTCCAGTTTTCCCTTCACAGATTTTGTATGTAGAACTTCCGTGACAGTATGATTACCTTGGAGATTAGTTTCCAATGTTGAGCGGATTGGCACAGTTGTATCTAAGAGAATGGGGTTGCTTTGCCAAGAATTTCCTCTCTGGAATTTATCAACTCGACATGTCAATCGTTGAATGGTAAAGTGCGGAATTCCAAGTGTCACTCCTTTGCGAATAAGAACGAGCTCTGAGTTTGAAAACTTTCTGTTCACTAGAGATTTGATTATAGAATGGAGGAAATGGAAAACCAGTACGATGTTTTTCAGGAGTAATACGTGAAGATGAAAAGCATGGTGGGAAGGAGCAAGATTGAGGCCGCATGTGGAGGCGAGCACGATAAAGTGTTTGTGCCGCGTTATGAAAGTCACACCCGACGTTTGCCTGCTAGTAAGCTGCATCAAAGTAGGTCCACATGAACTCCCTCCTCACCAATGAGCAGCTATTAAATCGTTGCAACAGTATAATCCCTATCTTGCGGAGAATAACTGTGCAATGTCTCGTTATCTTTCTGAGATTACTACTGAGAATTGTTATCGATCTTTCAAGGGTGGTTCCATCACTCTTCTCTGCAATATGTATACCACAGTGCATGACCCTTCTATTTTGTGGTGATGCAGCAAGATCTACAATTGCACCAAGTATATGCAGTCATTCACATACTCGCTCAATTCCTAGAGAGAGGGCCCATGAGAAAAGCAGAGCAACCTTCCTGCCGACCTTGCCACATTCGGGCCTTGAAGGGACGTGGGACAAATCACAAGTGCACCAATCATGGCTGGCTCCATCTGTTAATGGTTCCTACGCTCCGGTTATAGATGATGTATGTTCAAAATGACTTGAACTTGTTCTGAATGGGAGCTATTTGTGTCAGCGTCCATACAATGCACAGTAATATCATCTAGTGGAATCATCGTCTGTACGCATTTTCGCTGGACATAATGCACACTAACATGGCATACTCTGCAGTACCAGCACCCATGGATGAAGATGCGCAATAAAGTTTCGGATTTCCAAGTTGCTTTGCGAGCTTATGAGAAGTTAGTATTCTTTCTCAACTTTAGATTTGATTCAAAAAGAGTTCTTACATCTGAGAAGTACTAAGGAAGATTAGCAAGCTGAAAATTGTGGTAGAGAGAGAGAGAGAGAGAGAGAGAGAGAGAGAGAGAGAGGGAGATCAATTCGCTGTGGCACCTCTTTGAACTTGTGCCTGTATCAAAAAGCTTCTATTCTGATTTAGTTGCGCAAAAGCCTGCAATGTAAACTTGTTGAGGGGAGTAAATGGCTAAACATGCCTGTGGTTGACACATTGAATTCGTGTGGTATGGAAGGGCGAGAGAGGATGGCGATAAGGAAACCCAGGCTTTGCGTGTTTACTTGGCAAGTGTGGAAACTGCTGCTGCTGGGCTTGTCTCTAGGGTTCAGGACCTTGAGAATCTATTGGCCTTGTGTAAGAGTTCTGAAATTATCAAATTTTATGCGTGTCTACATCCTTATATGATACTTGAATTTTCTTCTTTGGTGCCCTACCTTAGTCAGGTCCTTATACACTGCCTTGCCATAATAATGTCATATTTCTTTCTCTTAAGAAGACAGAATGATTCCGGGAAGATAAAATTGCACTGGACCCCTGGTTGAATCCTCGAAACTACCTCTTGTGTACTGCTGCCATTTTGTTTGCAATAACTTACATAAATTATCGTAGGCGTTTGCCATCAGCAACAGCATTTCGGCTGGGGCATGACGCTGAGCAGTTAAGGGGGAGGGCGACCACCGAGGCTCTCAAGGAGGCGCAAAAGCAAACTATAATAGCGGCACAGGCCATAGCAACTGCTCGGGAAGCAACGATGGAACTTGACAAGGTAAAGTTCTCATTTTTGAGAATGAATGTTATGGAGCTTTTCAGAACATCTAATGGAACAATAATCGCTTGCCAGACGGTATGGACTTTTCAAATAACTGTGAGGTTCTTCATGACGTTTGACGATGCAAGGGACTAGACTTGTGTAACTTTGATGTTTTGCTAGTTGAAGCGGGAGACCAATGCTTTGTCAATGGCTCAAGTAGCTGAAATTGAACACCTGAACAAAGAGGCAGCGGAGTGTCGAATGCTCTATGAGGTAGGAGAAATTTCAGATTACATATGACCTCGTAATTGTGTCTGCCACTTCACCTAGTGACTTGGAGAATTATGTTAACCTGTTGTGTTCAAATGAGGATATTATGCATATTTTTGTCTCAGAACTGTTTTTGTAAATGTGCAGGCTCGGGATAATCAGATTCAAGAATTTCATGAACAATTTGCAAAAATTGTAAGCATGTACTTAATTTATGTTTATTTCGAGCCATGAGACGAGGCATGGGTTATTTTAGACCGTTACTTTCTAGCACATGTGTTCATGTTGTGCTTGATTGTTATGTTAGCAGCAAAGGCAACTGGAACAGCAAAGTGCTACGATAGAGAGCTCTCAGAGGTCGTTTCAGATGGAGACTATAGCCTCACAGAAGAGGTACGAAGAGGCGAAGGTACGTAGAATTCGCTTATACAGCAGCAAGTTCCTTCCAAGCTCACGTTGTTTGAGGATTCGAGTTGAGCTTTATTGTGTTACTTTTCAGTGTGATCTGAAAAAGTGGAAATTTGCAGTTTGCATTTATAGAAAAAGCAGGGCAGTGCGACGAACTGATCCAGGCCCTTGAGTTAAGTACTGCAGTTGGAAAGGCAGCGGAATTTAAATTGCAAGAGTTGATTGCTGAGAAGAAGGAAATTACCCAGAAAAACGAGCTTTTAGAGCAGAAGGTGCTGTGTTTCCTGAGTCATGTAATCCAGCTAATAGACAGGATCGCATGTGAGATGGAGTTCATCGAAAGCACACATGGCGTTTTGATTTATGACATGCTTGGTAACCTGCCCAGCATGGGTATTGCTGAAATTTCAGGTGAAGGAATTACAGATCCAAGATTATGGAGCATTCGTAGTTGGTCAGTATGACCAGGAGCTTCGTAAGGTCCGCACTGCATTAGGAGATGAAAAGGCGCAGCTTCTGGATGACTTGGTGAGTTGCTTGAATCAAATTCGAGCTCAGTCTGGGCTTCCTGCAATTTACATCCTTCCAGCTTGATTTCCTGATGGTAGAAACTGTGAATGGCTCAGCATCTAGTTTTTATCTGTTATATGAAGCACAAAGGAGGTATATAGGAAACATTGATTCCTTTTCGTTATTATGAAACTTTTATAACTTTTGTTGCACGCTGATAGCAGAGATCCAAGAAACACGTTAGATTAAGTTATAAAACGGAAACTCATTGAATAGACGTTTGGTAGCAGGCTCAGCTCCGTCGCAGCAACGAGAGCCTCACAAAAGACATTAAACAAGATTGGCTTAACAAGCATAGAATTCTTAGATTCTGGGCATCAGACGAACAACAAGACCTGCGACAACAGTCCCCAAATGCGTCTCCGAGTCCAAAAGTGGTATCTAAAAGTCTTCCGAGCCCTTCAAGAGGATGCAATTACTTTCATGACGTAGAAGAAGGAAGGTTGAGCATTGAATCAAGCGCATCAGCATCTGGTTCATGGCACACTGAAGGATCAGGGACGAAGGACTGCAACCAGGATGATGCTATGAGGTCACATAGCTCAAGTGTTTGTTGCGGCAAAGAAATCATGCCACGATCTCTACATGAATCAGATACCAATCATGGAAAGTGCTGCGGTACAAGATCGCAGGTCTTGACTGGCTCACGATAATGTGTCAATTTGGTTATCTAATAAGTGGCATTTGCTCACGTACTGTACAGCTTGAAATGCTCTGACCATGCAAGGGTTTGGGTTCATTGCACTTTCAGAGCTTAGGTCTCAGTGAAGGCTTAGAAAGCTCGGGAGCCGACGCTGGACTAGCAGCGCTGACTTCGAAAGATTTTAATCTTTTGGCTGCTGCACAACAGGAAATAATGAAGCTGAAGGAGGTTGGTGTTTTTCTTGCTTCAGTTGGGTGATTTTTGGTTATCTTAATTTTCATTTTTTATTTTTACAGTCCAATACAGCGGATACGGTTCCGTAATTTTGAAAGTTTTGACATGCCGAAATACTGTAATTTCAGACATTTATGTTTCTGGGATGAGTCTGAATACTGTCGATAGAGATGAGCACAATCGACATGTTCTCTCGAAAGAGAATTCTACTCCAAAAAACATTATCTACTCTTCTGACCCCTGTTTTCTGACCTCTGTTTTCGTGCCGCCTATGTTCCCCTAAAATCACTTCAGTTTTTTTCAAAAACAAAATCATAAATCGCAAATCGTGTTCTGATAGTTGTTCGTGACTCCTTCCTGCGGCTGGTCAATGGAAGATAAATGAGCAGCTGGTGGCTGCATGTCAATGAAGGAGTCATGGAAAATTCAAGACATGAAGCTGGGGGTCTTGAAGATTCCTTGTAGACAAACAAACCTGTGAGTTTTTCTATACAACTACGTAAGACCTTCTACTCTTACACCCACACTCTCTCAATTTGTGAAGATCATGATCAGTCCGTTGTAACCCACATCACGAACTGATTTCATGTCACTATTTGTGCAGCAAAACTTGCAATGAAGCACCATGCAGGAAGTATACATTGCATTAGAGACTTTAGAATATTCCGTATATTTAACAAGTTCATCGACCTGGATGCTCAATCTTCCAAGAAAAAACTCCATATTGGAATGATTCTCCTGACCGTGTTGAGTAAAGCAGGGTTTTTGCTTAGGTGAATGACAAGATGCAGGCTTGATGGGGATGTGTCTGTAGCAAAAGTTGCAGAAATAGGAGGTTGGCTAGCACCAGCTCATTGCTACTGGCAGATGTACTGTTAGACTCATTGGGTTGCCATTTGAAAACAACCCCTCTTTCCAGCTTCTTTTCCAGTTTAAATCAGTGGTGCTGGTTTCAGGAATATTGATGGATAGTATGAGTTGATGTAGGGGATTCTTCCAAAGCTGATAAAAACAAGTAGAACAAGTGACCATGAGCATCAAGAAGGTTTCTTTCTGTTGTGACAAGCTGTATGCTTTCTACAAGTTTTAAAGCTAACTTTAAAAACTGAGTGAGGAGCATAGAGCAGCCCTCCAACCAAGAAAGTGTTTGTAGCAAAATATTTCTTGCATTTGACAGAGGATTGAAGTTGTTTAATAATAATGCAAAGAATATCATTGCAAGGTTAAGAAGCATTCTTTTGTTGAGTCATTTGAATCTTCTATGGTATTGAATAAAATTTTACATGTTTTTAAGTAACATAATTTTTTTCTTCATAGTTTTTTTTTTTTTTTTTTTTTTTTTTTTAAAAAATTAATTTTTATAGTAGTTCCATGTTACGATGTGCTTGCATTCCAGCTTCTAAACATTCGAATATTTCAAGGTCTGTTTCCAAGTTTAGACGGATTTGTGTGGTACTATATATATAATTTAATATAAACCTACTAAACTAATCTTTATACTTTCATATATGTAAACTACATTACATTTCACAATTTTGTACATGTTTTAATTTTTTTTAGATATAATAATCAATCTAAAAGTGATCGCATTACCAACAATCTTAAATTCAGAGGGGCAATACATCAAGGGCACAATATCATTGTCCTATATCAGATATTAATACAACTTTCTATCCAAAAATAGAATTCATAGCACAATAACAAAATTGAAATGAAAGAGATTTCACCACAAGCTGTTATGCGTAAAGGATATCTAGAGTATATCTCAATTAACAAACAACCAGGAAAACACTCATCGCAACAAATGCATAGGACTAAATCATCATGACTAACTGAAACAACATTTACACCACAACGCAACGTGATACCAACACACCTATATAGCTTTAAACATTTTTATAAACAATACAGTGTTTCAGTTTCTGCATACTCAACAGCACAGGACGCCATCGTCTGATTCAATGGTCTCCATGATCATGGCACTGTGCATCATTCACTTCACCGTTGGAATGCATGGTGGGTTTGTTGGAAGAGAGACAACAATTTTGCAACAGTACCAAGGCTGGTGAAATGGATAAGTGTGCTAGAAAAAGGATGCGCCAACGCCTTTCATTCGAAGCTCGCACACACACTCACACACACACACACAAGGACTGCTGGTGCCGAAGCCTCGGGGGGGGGGGGGGGGGGGGGGTAGAAGGGCTAATCGCAATGGGCAGATTCCGTGACCAAGGGAAGAACAAATTAGTCCATAGCTGAGGTGGGGTCCCTGCGGAGATCAGCCCACGCATTCGCGATGGCAGATGTGTGTCCAACACCTCGCCACCTTTTTCCCCTATCGAACTCTCACAGCATATGTGGCGTCTGTGAGTTCGTTTGCTCGCAGCACCCACAACTTCGACTTGTCGTGGTGTGTTCTGCTTTTACGTTTCGTTGAATTTGGGTAGCGCTGGACTTGAAGCTGTGGGAGGGTCGTAGTGTGTGTGCGAGCTTCGAATCGCAGTGATGGCGAAGGTGCAGCTGGTGCTGGATAGCCATTGTCGGCTGGGAGAGAGCCCGGTGTCGTACACGTCTGGCGGCATCCACTTCGTCGACATCGAAGGCTGCCGAATTCACTCGTTTGATACCGTCGCGAACCGGCATGTGCGTGATGTTGAGACGGGAGGGAGATTGGTGGGGCACATTGTTGCTAGTGCTTCACCGGCCTTGCCCGGCTATGACTTGATTGCTTCTCTCGAGGTAACCTTCCTCTTGATCTCGTCTCCACGCCTTTTCCCCAACACTGAAGATATGGCCCAATTTTGCGTGAATTCATCGTATGACGTTTGAATTTGCAGACTTCTCTTGTGCCGGTTAACTTCGAAGGCGGGGACTGCAATAGTAGCCCTATAGCCACAATTCCGGAGTTGCATCTAGACCCTGCAACCAAAATCAGGTTCAACGACGGGAAAGTGGATTTTCAGGGCCGTCTGTGGGTAGGATCTATGGCCATGGACGCGTCTAGGAACGTAAATAATGCCACCAAGGGGCACTTGTATTGTCTGCAACGTGCCACTCCGTTGAAGGACACGCCGGATGCGTCACCGTTGTATGAGCTCGTGGACAAGCTCGACCAAGTGGGTATCTCGAACGGGACCGAGTGGTATGGTGACCACATGTACTACATCGATTCCTTGAAACCGGTATGACATCCACCACAGCTTTGGATTTACAGAGGGTTAGGGGTAGAGCAGATGTTTTGCTCTTGTAGGGCGCTCTGATGAGCGTCAACTGGTTCGTTACCAAACAGGAGGTAAGCGTCTTCGACTTTGATGCCATTGAAGGTTCACTCAGCAACAGGAGAAGCATTGCGCAAATTCCCAAAACACGAGGTATGCAAAATTTCTCCACTCCATCGCTTCAATTGTGAGCCCACGGTTTCTCATGTTTGAGACACAACGAGTTTCTGAGGCTTTTACAGAACCGAACGCCAGCGTCTCAAGGGGGGGGGGGGGGGGGTACACATTCGCCATTGCAGGTGTTCCGGACGGGATGACTCTCGACGCAGACGGCAAAATCTGGGCGGCATTGTACGGGGGCGGGGCAATCGTTCAAATTGATCCGGAAACTCAGATTGAGCTAATGACAATACAAATGCCGGTTCTGTGTCCCACAAGCATGGCTTTTGGAGGTGAGTTACACCGCATCGATTCCAAGCATACCATTCACCGCAACCCTCAGCTCTCCTCTTTTCACATTCCTTCACAGACATAAACCGACTTAGGTGGGTAACCTACTAACAACCACGACGAGGTGCAATGCAATTCCAGGAAAGGATCTAAGTGAGCTCTATGTGACGTCGGGAGCGCGAGGTACAAGCGAATCCCCCACCATACCACTTCACAGCCATTGTTCAGCCATTGTTCAAATTCTAACTGTTCACTTACTGAAACCAAAATCTAATTGTTCAACATGACTGGGGTTTGGTGGCCAGGTGAGGAGCAGAAGGGCGGCAACTCGGAGCACAGAGGCGGGCTGTTCAAGGTGTGCATACCGGGCGTGAAGGGGTTGTCATTCTCTCGAGCTTTCACTGCTTAGAGCTCCGTTTCTTATCGCAAAATTTCATGGTTCTGTGCGAGTCTAGATACTCGAAGCAGAAGCAGAAGAAGAAACTGTTGTAATTGTGGTGGGAGGAAGTGCTTGCCTTGCTAATTCTAATTTTTAATAGAACATGCAGCGCTTGTGTTGTCATGCAGCTACGACACAGACATGATCCGAGTGTATGCTTCATGAGGTTGGATTCTTTTGTGATTCATCTCTTGTGAAATTCTCCTTCTTTCTTTCTTTGTTTTGTTTTTTTTTTTAACCCTTTTTGAATAATTAATAATTCAAACTTGTTGTGACATGATTTTGCTTTTTTCATTGTAGATTTTTTCCCAGCTTAATGGTGTTTTTATCTTTTTTTTTTTTTTTTTTTTTTTTTTTTTATTTTCTTCTACTTCCAAAAGTATGAATTATTTCATGTTTCATGTATGTCTTTGGAACATGGCATAATGTACGTGAAAACTAGAAATATGTGGCTTTTATGTTTTAAGTGATTTTTTTTGACTTGTTTGTTATGGTGTAGATGTTGGTTTGTTCTGAGGTTGTTTGATGTTGTGTTAAAAAAATTGATTTCGTTTGTCGAAACTATGTTGTTTTTCATGGAGAAACCTCATATGTTTCAAACAATACATGTACATTCTTTATAAATGTAAACTTGCCCTTATTGATGGATGTTAGACTCAATAAAAAGTTTCATATCTTCAGAAGAAACTGCACTTTATATGTTGTCAACTAAATAACATGATTTTTGAAAGTACAACATTAATTTTGTAAAATTAAAAAACTCAATTTAAAATTGCATAATTATGACTTTAGAATTATATTTTTGAAGTACCAAGTCTTATACACTTAACTCCAATTATAGTATTTAGAAAGTTTGAATAAAAGCATTCTATAGGTTCATAAATATATTACATAAATCTTTAGTTTGGATAAAGCATAAGTAGAACTCAAATATTTTGCATTGTTAGAAAATCTCACAAGTAATATTTTTGTTTTGATGAAATTTATTATTACATAATGTTGCAAGGAATTATTTGTTGTGATATTTGTGATACTATAGCTAATTTTGTATAATAACTTAGAGATAATATTATGATATATATATATATATATATATATATATATTAGCACATAACATTATATGATAATGAAATGAAAATAAATGATAAATAATGATCTTGATTAAACTGTCTGTTATTACTCTGAAAATCCTCATTTCTATTTCAAAAGTTAGACCTATATTTAGATAAAAAATAATCGTTTTTTTTTTATAAATAGCATAATATTTAGAAGAATGTGTTAGAATGATGATTTTTTGAATCCATGGATTTATTGATTATTTCTTAACAATTGCAACTTTACCAATTTACTTAGATAAAACATCAAATAGCTAGAGAATATATTATATGCTATCAGAATTCTGCTTGCAAAAAAGTAGAAAATCATATTTCTAAAATAAATAAAGAGAAATTGCTCAGAGAGTTGGACAAAATTGTGTGAATGGAATTTGCAAAAATTGGTAGATTTTCTTTTACAAAAACAAACAAAAAAAATTACAACTTTACATATAGTGTAATAATAAATTCTAATTAACTACTCAAAATGGAGGTACATTTATGGTTAATTTTTACTCAATTCTTTTTTAAGAAAATCAAGCTCAAAATAAAATGATTTAATAACTTCTTAAAATATTCTCAGTAGATTGACTTCTCAGAATAAGACACTCCTGTAAATGAAATTATTGGAGGGTACTGCAATCCCAAACAATTTATAATGAATAGTCGTTTTTATTACTATGTATGCCATGATTGGGCTCTTGAAAAGGACTTCACAAATCCTAGAGTGTGGGCATATCCACCTTTTGTAGAATGATTTGCATGTTTCCATTAATGGTTGAGATAATTCTGCTGTCGCTATGACTCCAAATATTCAAACATACAACCACGTGAGGTGTAAAAGAAGGATTTGATTACTCACACATTTACCACCTCATTTTGTTTCGCATTTCCCTCCAGTCTGTATACATCGCAACACAGGAGATCTCCCCTGAAAACTCGAAAACAACGAAGATAACAAATTATACGACATGTTAAATCAGATGAGGTTATGGTTGTTCTTTGAATTTTTCTCTATGCTACAGCACCCTTGGTCGGCACTTCAAACAGTGGTTTATCAATCTTAAACTACTTTTCAGAAGGCTTATCTGAGAAAACTTGCAAGTTAACAAAATGCACGGAGGAGGCCTGAAGTCGGAAAAACTTGTGTCTGAAACATAAATGGTTCTCAAGCTTCCAGTGTCGAGAACATTGAAATCGGCTCCTTGTCTTTCCAAGCACATCCTAAATGCAACAAGACAGACACAAAAAAGCTCCCTCATTATGAAGTACTTGTCAAATAATTTTTTGGCCATTTCTGTCTCCAGACAGTATGGAAGCCGTCAGTCAACAAACCTGGTACAAAAAATTCTTACAGAATAACATGGAGTTCCTTTCAGAGCACGCACATACTGAACGTTAAAGTGAATTTGTACCAACTGGATCTTTTCTACAAAGGTAATAATGCAGTAGCCAATGTACACAAAACAATATGACATTCATGTATGAATTTTGCTCAGTTTGTTCCCTTAGCCAGGCTCATAGCAAAACCTGGGAAGATCCACGACGGCACTCATTCAACATGTACACATAAAACTGGCGCTTATCAATACTACTGTTGTTTGCATCCACGCAGTCCTGAAACGCTTTCGTCATGTTTTAAGAAAGCATTGGAGAATACGATCTGCGCAAGTGACCCTTGGACACTTCATAATAAGGGAGCGTATTTGTGTCTGACTTGTGCATGTCACTCGAGATCATGGTGCTATCAACCGCTCTGTGTGTGGTACATCGGTACCGGTAGCTGTTGTTCCGAATACCACCTCCTCACACTCACAGTGCTTCTGATCTCTTCTGCACGGTTGCTTCACCACGGGCAGGTGTCATAGCTGCACTGGCGGCGGAGGTATGGTGCTGCGAATCATGGACCGGGGCGTGGCTTTTGACAAGCTTTGACGACGTATGGCGATGCACCAGCAACAAGATCCAGAATCAATCAAAAACAGTAATAATATGGTGCTGTGAGCTCCGTGTGAGGCTCACTTTTATGGATTCAAGTGGGACAAAGCCAACAACAGCAATGACGATGCTGCAGAAACGAGCTACAGAGAAGTGGGCCCTGAAGGCAGGCTGTGAAGGAAACACACACCAACTCTTATTTCTATATGCTTCCCATGTATTTGTGGACATCAACCAAAGCGGATTCAATGGGAGAAACATGTAAACTAGGTGTTAAGAATATGGCTCAAGTTACAAGCACATTCCAAATTGCTATAATACTTATATCCATTATATTTATAAACACACTCAAGACCTTTGATTGGTTGATCCAGATCCCTTTTTCTTTGTATGGATCTCAATCTCCTTCTGGGTATAGACATAATGGGTGTGTGTATAGACATAATGGGTGTGTGTATAGACATAATGGGTGTGTGTATAGACATAATGGGTGTGTGTATAGACATAATGGGTGTGTGTATAGCAATTTGGAGTGTGCTTATAGCCTGAGTCTAAGAATATATCTCATTGATAATTTGAGGATCAAATGTAAGAGATTATACAAACACTTCTCATTCATGAACTTTTATGTTGGTGTCTTTTAACTATTACTAGGTGAAGACATACCTTTGGAAGCACACCTTTAGATGGAGCCCACTACTTTTCAACCTACCATTGTTGCCTTTATTTAATATTATCCACACATTATGCTCTATTACATTTCCTTCCATAAAACATTTGTACTCCTTTAATGATTATGATGTTATATTATTATTATTATTATTATTATAATATTATTAACCTTATAATTTTGTGGTAAATTTTTACGAGTCCATTTTACTTGCATTGACAATATTGAGAGTGTCGAATTAAAGACATATGGATACATATAATTTTGTATTTTTGAACACTATACTTATTGAATTATATAATGTGATCCACAATATTTTTCCAAATTTTTATAATAAGTATAAATATCAAACTTTTTAATTTTTTTAAAAATTAATGTGCTATGTCTATAATTTTGATTCAAATATTTTTTACCATATTCTACATCAATTAATCAATAATAAAATAATTTACAACAAAATGCAACAATTCAGGTTCAAACTTTTGTATAATTATTTTTCTCAATATCAAAAAATTAATTTAAATATCATATCCTTAACAAGGTCCTGATTTTATTCAACAAGGTTTTTGTATTTTTTTACGATTGCACTATTACATATTACTTGACACTTGTATATAAAAACCTACACTTAATATTAGAAAATAGAAAATAAAAAATCATTGATTTTTTGTAGGATAAATTTGTTTAATTTTTACAGATATAAAAAATATTATTACAAAAACAATAAAAATCATTTTGTAAAATGCATGATCATGAAATTAATAAACATCAAACTACTTTCACACACATAAAAATATAAAAAGTATTTTTTTATTGTCTTATAGATATTTGTAATAGATATTTATATGATTTTTAATCACAGATTTCCTTTTAATAGGAAATCAAATTGAATCAATTAACTACATTGCTCAATAATGTAATTGAAGTCAAATTGTTGTAGGGTAATTTTATATAGACAAAGATGTTTGTTTAAAATTTTAAAACATCTTAACCGTACATTAATTTGAATTTTTGTATCAACTAGAATAAAAATCCTGAATTTAAAATATTTTGTAAAATTAATAGATAAAAGAATATATACTATGAAAATTAATTATTTCATTTGTGTTGCTGTTATTAGTTATTTTTTAATAACTTCCTTAAATTTCGATAATAATTTAATAATTAAAAGGAAGTTGAATATTCTTCAGTTTCATGTTTTTTGAAGAAATTTCATTTGAGAAATACAAACATGACCACTTGTTGATTGTTATATCACCCCAATAATAGTTTTGTTCTTAGTCATCTTTGTTGATACAACTTAATTTTCTAATTGATGCGTTTAACAAGCTTAAGCTCAGAATTTTAAATAGAAAAAACTTGCTTAGAATTATATCTGACTTTGAAGTTACATCAAAATTTTCTTTAAATTTAACCTTCGAGATTTACTCATAATAATTTTTA